ATATATATATATATATATATATATATATATATATATATATATATATAAGATAAGATAAGATTTTTAGATCTTTATTTTGTTTTCTTAGAACATCATCATCGGAGAACAACTCGACATATGCTGACTACGAGAGGTTGCAACAATAGGTGTGTTGTTATGATAGATAATAAAATTTTTGAAGTATTTTGCTATGATATATAATAATTGAAGTATGTTGTCATTATGGAAAAATATAGAATTACATTGTCTTTGGTAATAGACAAGAATTAGCGCATGTTTTTATCATGGATAAAAAATCAAGTATGTTACTATAGTGGAAAAAGTAAAATACAATGCTATATTGGATAAAAAAAATAAAGTTTGTTGCTAGTACATATAAAAATTATAATATGTTGTTATTGTGAATAAGAAAATATAAGTACATTCTCTGTATCAGTGAAATGCATGTTATTATAATAGATAAAAATGTTAAGATATATACTTTGTTTTACTACTTTATGTATGTGTTTTTAACATATTTTAGGTTTGTGGGACGGAAGAAAGACAAGTCCAAATAAGTGCAAGACAATTACAACTTGGAGCCCAAATTGTCAAATTTATGAGTAATAACCCTCCCAACAATCCACCTAATGCTACTTATGTTATTGTTGTAAACACTTGTATGTTTTTTAGACATTTGTATTTTTTTTTTTTGTCTATATTTTTTTGTTAAACTTGCGCTGTTAATGGATAATTTTAGATTGAAGATTATGTTAGAAAAATGGGGTATAGAAAGGCTTGGAATTCTGAGAATTGTGTTAAACACTTTAAGATTAAAGCATTTTGGTGGTACTCCCAATATTCTTTAATCGGATAAGACTCGGAGAGACAAAATCTTTAGAATGTTTTGAAGATAGTTTCGTATATACCATAAATGAGACCAAAACCGACTTTATGATCTTTGTCTGAAAATTGTCATATGACAGTTTCAAACTGTCATAAAACTATAAAAAAAACTGTCATAAAAACGGAAGTTTGGATAAGGGTCAAACAATGGTCAATTCTCTGAAAATCCGATTTTCTGATGCATTTTTTATCCGATTTTCGACCCCAGCCAGGGGCTGCCGCCCCTTGGACCCCGCTCCCAGGGGTGCTGCCCCCGGACCCCCGTTCGTTTAGGGGCTTCGCCCCTAAATAACAGTGTACTTTGAAACTTGATCAAACTTAAACAAGTGTGTACTCCACACCTTCCTTACTTGTTTAATATTTATCAAGATCTCTTTTGGTCAACAAAGTAATCCTATTACACTTAAATAATATTGATGATAACAAATCACCAACAAATTATTGTCTGTGTATGACGTTGAAATAGAATTTGGTCATTTATATTAGATTTTTTCTGCATTTTGAGTAGAAAAAATCATTTTTTATTCCTCTAAAGTTGTACATTTAATTGGAAATGCCTAGGAAACATTGTCAAAAAAAAGTGTCATGAAAACTATCATAATAGTCTTTCCTTGGAAAAATCTAAGGAGAAAACTATCATCAAATTTGTCACGAAAAGTAGTCATAAAAGAGTTGTTCTTCGGAAATGCATATGAAATATATTTTCCTGGGAATAAGTTTCCTCAGAAAACCTTGGAATACAAGCAAAAATGGCATGTATGGGGCAAGTGTTGGAACTTTCAACAACAAAGTTCTTGTTGGAAATCTGTCGGAATTCCCTTGGTAAAGTTTCTAGGAACTTTTTTCTCGGAAAACTGTTGTAAATACCTATTTTGTAGTATTGTATGGCCATTTTAGTGAATCACTCAAATGAATATTACATTCTTAAATCATAATAAATATTTTTGCATATTATTAGATGAAAAAACCACTTATTAAAGTGAAAAAGAAGAAAAACGGATTAGTATTAAAACATTCTTTAACATAATTTCCAACTTGGCATAAGTAATAAAAATGTTTTTATAATAATATTTGCTGAAACCAATATATTTCTTGGTTATCACTTTCACTTTGGGTTGCATAAATGCAAGAAACACAATTTCCATGCATATATCTCGTTTTACTATTAAAAGCACATGATACTCATCTTGGTGTTGAAGTGTCACTATTTATGAACTCAACTTTAGCCTATATTCTATTTATAGTACTGTAACATGATCAACAATTCTGGTTAAGGTTTTATTACTTTCTCAATTAGCTTAACTCAAATTAACCATAGGTAGTCACTAGTTTCGTTATGATTCGACACATGTCAATAATTGTGACACTTAAATTTGAAAGTCAAAGAGATTGTGGTTTTTGTTGATGATGAATATGAACATAGTGTCTTTCTTCCTCTCGTAAATTAACATCACAAAATTTTTATTTATTGGTTAATTACAAAAAAGACCCTATTATTTAGCATTTTCGGATTAAAGAAGTGGAGGAACAACTACAGGCCTTGGGGCAAAAAAGATGGAAAAGCAATACATCAAAAAGAGGACCGAAAACACAAGGACTAAAGTGGTATAGACACAAATGATACTCCTCATCCTCGAGTAGTTGAAATACCTATATATATGGTATGTTTTCTTTAATGCACTTCTTGGTTTATCTTACATTCAATTCATTTACTATGCATTGTTTATATGTTCAGGAGGATGCACCAAATGGCGATCTTACACAAGACTATGTGGATGAAATGCAATTAATTGATGTACATGTGAATGAGGTTGTAGATGATGATGAAGTAGGAATTGAAAAAACTCAAATGGCACGTCTACACATCAAAATTGGAAAAAGTCAAGAGATGGAGTTGATTCAAGCTAAAAAGAACCAATGGTGTTAGAGGTGTTATCTCATTGATATGTATAGTGGGTGGATGGAAATTTTATTGGTGCTACTTGTTACCCCTTTTGTTGCTACTAATATGACTTTTTATAATTGTTAGTGATGGCTACTTAGATTGATACCACATGTTTTTAATTTAGTGAAGTAATCGGTTGACCATTTAGATCGGTATAGCTTGACATTCGATGGTTTTGATCTGATTACCATGTTTAGGACTTTTGTAAATGACAGTACATATGTTACATGTTATACACATGCATGGAAAGTTTTAGTTTTTCATGTTATTGTTTGGAAACCAAAAAATGTTCTACATAAGGTGCATTAGAGTCCATGCATAAATAGAGAAGTTTCAACCTCACAAAAACATCATTCGGTTCCAACATTACTAACAACTATCTTGCTTCTAATGCTTTACATGGAATAAAAAAACCATAAAAAGGGAAGAAAACGTGAAATTATGGTTTCCAAGAAGATTCACGTTTTTAAGCTTGGGGTTGCCAAATCATCGTCCAGCTCATTAAATGAGGTCACCTCAACAACATTTAACTGTCTTATTAACTGGTAAATAAGGAAAGGAAAGGTCTGATTTAATCCAAAAAAATGAAAAATATAGGGTTTTTGTTTTTGTTAAATGTAATTAACCTTTTTTATTTACGGAGCTGTTTGTACAAATTAGTTAAACATCTCTAGTATATTAAATTACATAATAATAATTTAGTCTATTATAACCATTGTAAACAAATAAGCAACTTCATAACTTCCAAAACATTAGAACATTAGACCCCACACTAAGTTCAACACCCACTTTTATACAACTTAAAAGGATGGTAAAAGATACCAAGCAAAACACACTAGTCTACATCCTCGGTTTTTACTGACTAAATTGAATTGAACTGGACTAGACAAGTTTATCATAACTATTTACAAGACAAGAATGACAAGGACATTCACGTCTTTTCCACACACAAAAGACCAAGAACAAGTCTATCCCACCTCAAGTCTATCCCACCTCTTGATGGGAAATTATTACAATCTTTATCCCATGGACAATAGACTCCTCACGGTTTCAGTTCAGTATAAGCCAAATACAGTACAAAGCCAACATGTCATACCTAATGTCGCAGTTCTAGTCTAATGCACACGAAATGCAGTACAATATGGTCTTGTTCTGTCCTGTCATATGTCATGTACTGCATAACAAACGATGCCTAAAACTCATCGAAACCGGTACAAAACCCTAAAACCCTCACTCAAATTTACAATCACGCCACCACGTAGGATAACCAAACCCTAAAATAACCTACCATTATCAAGTTCTCCCTGGTGGAGTAAGTTGCCCTATTTGATCAACAAAATTATTCACACTCCTCATATTCCACCAAAACTTTCCAAATTGATCCAACTCTTTGCCACCCTTCTCTCTATCACCACCCGGATTCTCAGTCAAAAACTGTTCCCAAAACACATCATTAACACCCACCACCACCCCATCTCCGGCGACTTCACTGGCGGCAGTTTTAACCTTTTCACGGTTCACATCAAAATCATCTTCAGCTTCTTTCAATACACCCTCCCACAACACAAGGGATGATTCCAATTTCTCCACTAACTCATTATCCAATCCCAAAAGTGCATCAACGGTTATACTTTCACGAAGCGGGATATCAAAATGACAAATTTGCCCCTCATCATTTTCACTGGACAACCTTCTTTTTCTGTCATTTGTGTCCCCGGACGCGGGTTTCTGAAATAATTCGTTTAAATAACAAAGGATTTCCTTTTGGTGTTTTCCAGCGAGTTTCAAACGATCTGTTAATTCGCGTGCTTTTGATTCGATTTGCTTCTGTTCTTGTTGGTGCTCTTGAAAAAGTATGGATAGTGATTCTTTTTCGTATTGGAGATTATTGATTTTTTCTTTGTATATTTGTTTTTCTGATTCGGTTAAAGGAGAAGATGAAGGTAGTCCATTGATTGAGAGATTTTGCATGGAATGACTATGAACTGGTTTTCTTCTATGGATGTTTTTCAATAGATGTGGTTGACCTTTGATGAAATCTTCATTTGCAAACTCCCATAGTTCAGGATCAATTTTCCGAAAACCCTGAGAGAATTAAAAAAAATGTTGTTGTAGAATTGTAGTTTTGTTTTTTCACTCAATAAACAGCAAAAATGCAAAGGAGAAGAACGAATGCATGAATCAAAGGTACTGACTTACATAAGTATTAAGTTGTCTGATAAAACTGGAGAAATTGTTATGCTTGAAGAATCTTGGAAGCAATTCACCACAAAATTCAGGTGGATTCCACACGATGAAACTCTTATTATTCTGACTCCATGAGACTATAGCATCTGTCGAAGGATCATCAACCATCTCATACGTCTTCGTGATGAAAGGAGGCAGAGCATTAGAACTACCCTGAGCATCATTCATTGTGACCCAATACGAATTTCTCTCGAATCAAGTCAAAAGAAGCTTAAATTTTGAAAACAGGGTTGAAAAAGCTGCTTGTTTCCCAAAAGGAAAACCAAACCCACCAAGCTCAAGCGAACACCTGGTTATCTGTATAGAACTCCTGTAGAAGAAGATAGAGAAAGCGAATCAAGGATAAGAACAGCTTCATATGTCATAATTACTTAGCGGAAAGAAACATCAAAGTCGTTAAAAGCATCAACTCGTTTCCGGAAACTTAAAGCAAAAGCGTCCCCTACCAAAACTGTTACATATGCATCTATACTTGTACATATTACATATGCCTTCTAACAGAGCCAAATTAGTGCACACCAGGTGTTCGACGTATTACCTGAAAGATAGTGAACCAAACGAACTCCAAGAATTCAAATATGGCTTCAAGGAAGGGATTAATTCCCTCTGACGAAAAACATCGCCCGGAACACACGAATCCAATCTTGTTAGGGTTTTACGTGAAGAAGAAGAAGCGCAAGAAATGAAAACGACACAGGTATAATAGAGAGGTTGAAAGTTCTTCAAGACTTAGTTCTTCTGATCTTGGAATGTCGGAATCACTGGTCGTTCTGGATTGAATTTACTTGAAAGAAATCGACTGAGGGGTAAATCATCAAATCAGGGTCATGTTCAATCTAAAATCGTGTACGTGGGTTTAAATTCAATCCACGTTCTTGTTTGTTTTGGATGTCGGAATAATTTTATATGGAAAACCTCACAGAGTGACGCATGTGCTTTGGTGGGTATGTCAACTATACAATTTAACATATATATATCTCCAAGATGTTCATCCGTTCGCAAACATTTCATTTATGCCCCTACACTTTGGATTAATTCTCCAAGATGTTCATCCGTTCGCAAACATTTCACTTATGCCCCTATACTTTGGATTAATTCCAAATACTACCCACATATTTTTGAGAGACTATAAGAATACCCCCAAAACTTTTGCTTTACGACGATTTTGATTTTAGTTTTTTTCTTTTATTATTATTATTATTATTTTTTGTGAACAGCAATTTTTATTTAGTAAAGTAAATTTCTATATAAAATAGCATATGTTCATTAATTAACACCTTTTAGTAAGAAGTATATAAATTTAAGTGTATTTAGAACTATAAACGAAACGAACGCGAACAAAAGCTTGTTTATGTTCGTTTGTTTAAGTTAGCTGAAAAAATGAAAAAGAACACGAACGAGTTTTCTTATTCATGTTCGTTCGCTTAACAAATTACCTTGTTAATGTTCGTTTGTTTATGTTCGTGAACATGATAAATATAAACGAAAAAACATAAAAGAACAAAGATAAATAAACACAATTGAACATATATAAACATAAACGGACATATAATATAGTAATGTAATAAAAAACAATTGAACATATATAAACATAAATTAACTAAAAGGAGTGAACATAAACGAACATTCACGAACATAAACGAACGGACGAAACCATTGTTCATGTTCATTTGTTTAACTAAACAAAAGAGAATTTGTGTTCATGTTCGTTCATTTATTAAAATCAACGAACATTAACAAACTTCCCACCGAACGATTCGCCGAACGTTTAGTTCTTTTACAACCCTAATTGTACCGTATAACAATTTGATGGTTAAAATAATTGTGTATTAACTTTTCCTAGCATAAAGATGAACAAAATCTTAGTGTTGAAAAACAAAAATAACGTTATGTTGTTACTTGTTAGTATATTGTTAGTATATGTAAAAATATTACTTAAAACGTTGGCCTAAAACTATGTTCATTTAACGTGTTGCATCATACTTTGATGATGAAAAAACAAATTAACATTTTTTGTATAATGGAGTGAATTAATATTTATAACCATTGTATCTGAATTTTTATAAAATAAACAGTCATATTTGAAAGAAATCCCAAAGAATGTGTTGGTTAGGACGGACAAGGCTCTGGGCTGAACAGGATGAGACTGTAGTGGATTATACTAAATAGAAGAATTAAACATGTTTTTATAGCTATTTTTTTAGACAAGGATAAAAAGACAAATGATCGAAAACATAACATTGTCCCTTATTTTTAGATTGTAACATCCGGGTTTTTCAGGGATATTATTGTGTATGTTAATCTTGAGGTTGAAGAAGAGACTCGACGAGTTGAGGGTCCAACTTGCCGAGTCGAGTCGAGATTGCTCGTGTGGATTTAATGAGTGGACTCGACGAGTCAGAGGAGGGACTCGCCGAGTAGGTGCTGGGCAGAGAAACCCTAATTTCCCGGGTTTGGGACCTATTTAAAGGCACTTATAGCCTCATTTGCGGCTACCTTCCCCTGAGAGCAAACCCTAATTGTTATTGGAGCTAGAGAGTGAGAGAGAAGCTCATATTGTGACTCTTGTGCATCCTTTGAGGAAGAGGAGGAGGTTATCAAGTAGGGAGCTGGAGCCTGGAGGTGAGGATGTTGGATCCAATGATTTCCTGTCCAGAGCTCCTGAGAAAGGTACCTTTCTTCTTATTTTGGATAGATCTCATATCTATGGAGTTTTAGGGCTTTTTGCCATCTTTTGTTTGGGTTTTTGAGTAGCATGAGTTATTAAGAAGCCTAGACCTCAGATCTGGACCTTGTGAGGTCCTTAGAGTCTAGGTGTCCCAGCTTTATTCATCCACATGAGGGTT